GGATGACTCTGCTTAACTGTTTAAAAAAAGCCTCTAAAAAAGTGCCCTCTACAGGAGGAGGCGAGAGAACCACATGCCTCATTTAGTCTGACTTTATGATCACTTGAGCAGAGTTAAGTAAGGATTAAAAGGGGAAAAATTCCTTATGTAGATGAGGCACGTGGTTCTCTTTGCTTCCTCCTGTAGAGGGCACTTTTTTAGAGGCTTTTTTAAACAGTTAAGCACTAAGCAGAGTCATCCACTGTGACTCTGGCAGTCTTTTTCTTTTATATTTATTTTTCTTTTCATGATGACAGTGGTGCGGCTCTGCCTCCCCTGCCTCCCCTGACTGCACGTCACTGGTGCTCACATAACTACTTTATCTAATGATCCCAATAGCTGGCCTGCTCTATCCTTCAGCCTTCCTGAAGGCTGCATGGCACCATTCAGGAAATGGGTGGCATTTCATTGTGGTCACTCCCAAAATGGTGCACATTTCCAAGACAGTGTCACGTGGCCTCCACTGTTTAAATAGACCATGCAGTGAAGCAGTTGTTTCCTGAAAATCTACCAAAAATTAAAATTAAGGGTGGGAAGGAGTCTGTGAAGCAGGGGCACAAAAGCAGGCCCAAGACCTACAGGAATGCAGAGGGATGGAATGGGAGGGGGGAGATAGGCAGGAGGGAACTGCAGCATTCTTGCAGTTGGTCATAAGAGTGGGCATATTGCCAAGTGCCCAAATTTTGTTTGCATGACCATGGGGGCACTGCTAGAAGTATCATAAGTCCCTTTGTTCTGCAGCATCATAAATTTGAACTGATAAATGAATAGTAGTAAGACGAAGACTACCTACAGTTCTGTATTATGTGGAATGGTCATTGTTTGGAGAGGACATACTAATGGTTGAGGTATAAATATGTTTGTTTTACAGATGGAAGCAGTTCTCAGATATAAACAAGATGACAGCAATGTCCAGAATGCAGTGCGTATCTGGAGCAACATTCCATCTGTTAATAGGTGAGTAATTTGTTTCTCAGTTTAACTTAGCATGTTCTTTTAAAACTGAATTAATGTAAAATGTTGTAAATAATTTAGGAAATCCTCTTTAACAATTCTTTGCTTTTTTTTTACTTTAAAAAAGCAATAACAAATTTGCAGTAACAATTTTTCAGAATTAGATACAGCTAAGGTGCCTGAATTTGTACATACCTACTGTAAACTGGAATGTTGATAAATATCATGAATTACAGCATTCTCCCACATCTCCTAACAACAGTGTGCTGTAAACTATTTCATCTCCAGATATTTTGCTGGATTACTGTGCCTTTCATTCCCAGGAACTATAGATATTGGTTAATGAACCAGGGGAAGCTAGATAATATTTTGTATGAACTCTCACACAAAACTTTTATTATTTGACGATCAAGTCATATTCCAGTTTAAATCAATTCCTACAACACATCCGTGGGTGGTAAGTAGATAAGGTTTGCAACAACCTTATTTAGTTTAATAATTTACCAATGCTAAAGGATGATTCCAAGAATGCTTTAGCTAACTATATAAAGTAACTCTTGGTAATTTTGAAATTTTGCCGTTATTCTCCAAATATGTGTCATATGAATATATAGCATTAGCAAGAAA